ACAGAGTGATTCACCTCCATCAAATCTTTTTTTTTTTTTTTTTTTTTGAGAAGGAGTCTCTCTCTGTTGCCCAGGGAGAGTGCAGTGGAGCGATCTCAGCTTCTTGCAGCCTTGACCTCCCAGGCTGAAACGATCCTCCCAAGAAGCTGGGACTACAGGTGCACACCACCACACCTGGCTAATTTTTTGTATAGTTGGGGTTTCGCCATATTGTCCAGATTGGTGTCAAACTCCTGAACTCAAGTGATCCTCCCACCCTGGCCTCCTAAATTGCTGGGATTACAGGCATGAGCCATCTTGCCCAACCCTGAGATCTCTTTTTGATGGTCATGTATTACTGCACGCTTAGCATCAACCTGAGTACATTACTGAAGCTAATCTTCGCAACAGTCCTCTGAGGAGATACAGCCCTGTGTTAGTACGCCCATTTTATCGATGAGAATACTCACAGGAAGGTTAAATAATTTGCCCAAGTCTCTCAGCCAGTAAGCGATGGCTTCAGAACTGAAATCTAGGAGGAAGTTCAAAGCCCCTGGGGCTCACTGTGCTATACAGTCCCTTCCAAACCCCGAGTCTGCCTCCCTCTGAATGCACTTTTCCAAGTATATACATATGCAAAAGGTACATCTCCAAGGGCCTCTTAGCTCTGATGATATAAATATCATCTCTAATTGTAGTACATCAATATAACGGAATACCATGAAGCCGTTAGAAAATGGTGTAGATCTATATTTATTGACATGGGAAAATATCCACAAAGCAAAGTGAAAAGCAAATTACAATGAAATATAGCATATCCATTTCTAGAAATAAGATAAATCCAACATGGGCTAGAAGAATAAACCAAGTTACTCTCTTGAACTTCTGGGCTCAAGTGATCCTTCCACCTTGGCTTCCCAAAATGCTAGGATTATAGGCCTGAGCCACAGAGCCTGGTCCTGTCATTCTCTTTGGGTGAGGGTTGCAGGTAATTTTCACTTCTGAGCTCACTATAGCATGGGAAGGGTTTAGACTAGAATTCAACATGCTGCTTTTGGAGAACCATTTGAAACAGCAGGGAAGCTGTGAAGACACAGCTCAAGGTGAAACAAAGCTGGCCAGGAAGCTCTAGGGAAAGCCTGTCCAATCCATGGCCTGTGGGTTGCATGTGGCCCAGGACAGCTTTGAATGCGGCCTAAAGCAAATTTGTACATTTTCTTTAAACATTATGAGATTTGTGATTTTTTTTTTTTTTTTAGTTCATCAGCTATCATTGGTGTTAGTGTATTTTATGTGTGTCCCAAGACAATTTTTTTTCCGATGTGGCCCCAGGAAGCCAAAAGATCGGACACCCAGCAGGCGCAGTGGCTCATGCTTATAATCCCAGCACTTTGGGAGGTCAAAGTGGGCAGATCACTTGAGGCCAGGAGTTAAAGACCAGCCTGGCTAACGTGGTGAAGATCCGTCTCTACTAAAAATAAAAAAATTAGCTGGGTATGGTGGTGGGCACTGTCATCTCAGCTACCTGAGAGGCTGAGGCATGAGAATTGCTTGAACCTGGGAGGCAGAGGCTACAGTGAGCCAAGGACATGCCACTACATTCTAGCTTGGGGAACAGAGCAAGACTCCATCTCAAAAAAAAAAAAAAAAAAAAATGCCAGGAATGGTGACTCACACCTAAAATCCCAGCACTTTGGAAGGCCGAGGCAGATCACTCGAGGTCAGGAGTTTGAGACCAGCCTGGCCAACATGGTGAAACCCTTGCTCTACTAAAAATACAAAAATTAGCCAGGCATAGTGGCAGGTGCCTGTAATCCCAGCTACGTAGGAGGCTGAGGCAGGAGGCAGGAGTATCGCTTGAACCCAGGAGGCAGAGGTTGCAGTGAGCCGAGATCATGCCACTGTACTCCAACCTGGGCAGAGTGATACTGTATCTAAAAAAAAAAAAGATTGGCCATCGTTGCTCTAGGGCCTAGGACTGGTGCTCTGGATCTGACCAAAGAGGAAGCATGCAAATACGGTCATGACCATGCGGAGGCAGTAGAGACCCATCCTCAACTCAAGTAGCTGACTTCGGCAGGAAGGGGCTACACCCAAGCTGTGTGGGCTCAGGCACAGCAGTTCAGTGCAGGAACACAGGCAGAGGCAAGCCTGGGGTTCACATCATGGCTCTGCCCTCACTGATTGCCTTGAACATGTAGGTTCTTGTCTTAGAGTCTCTTTCCCTGTCTCTAAATGAGTGGAAGGCCACCCACAGGCCCTTGTGAGTGAGGCTGCCCTTGGTAAACCCAGGTGATCACACCCCGGGAAGGCCCTGCCCACAAGGGTCAGTCCCGCTGCTCCCCAGCCTGTCCTCACCAACAGGCAAGAGCAAAGCACACGGAGAGGACCTGTGACCACAGGCAAGGACCACAGACCCCAGCCCCAGGGATTTTGACCTTAAGAAAGGAAACATCCACAATTCACCCTCAATCTGGTGACTCTGCTGCATCTGGGGTGGGTTTGGTCTCTGCTGGGACCACGGGGTTATCTCAGGCCACCAAGAAATGGCACTAACACAGGTGAAAATCACGGCAAACTTTATTGGCATAAATCACAGGAACTGAAATGGGAAAAGCCAGGTTAGATGTTTACAGAGAAAAAAATAAAATGAAAGTCAAATTTTCAAATAACCATTGACTCAGGGAGTGGACCCCAGAAACCCCAGTCCCTCTTGGAGAAGGTCTAGGGCAGGTCACTGTAAACAGAGCGGTAAGGCCTGTGGGTAGAAGGGGAAACCTCCAGAGGGGCCAGGCTGACCTCCCCACAGCTACAAAGGAGGGACCCTCTTCTGAGACCCCAGCACACTTGGCTTCTGCCAGGAGGCCAGTGGAGTGGTCTGGACTCTCCCCGTGAGACCCCGGTGGGGCCCCTTTCTCTTGATCAGGAGCCTAAGGCCAGGCTCCTCTTTCATTCTCAGTCAGGAGCTCTGGGGGTTTCCCCAGAGGAGTTTGTCCCTCTGCCCCAAATCCTATCACACTCCCTTATGACCTTCTTTCCAGACCCCCTGAGTGCCGATCCCACAAGTGAATGGGGAGGAGACAGACCCAGGCTCCCGGGAGAGCACATCTAGGGGAGGGATATGCCCAGAGGAAATCAACAAAACCAATGAGACGTCGGAGTCCTGACGGCCAAAATCAGACACCCGCTTTCCTGAGAAGGCAGAAGAGGGCCCCAGAGAAGCGGTAGAGGCTGAGAAGTTTCAGGGGTTCACGGGGGAGCAGAGGCTCCTGAGGGCTTACTCAGACAGGAAGCAGCCCCCCAAAACAGACTTTCCCCTTCTCCTGCAGAGACAGAACAGATGAGGTTCAGAATTCCAGCCCCGAAAGGGCGAGACACTCTTCAACCAGTTTCAGTGAAGAGCTTGCTGGCCTGGGAAGTAAGAAGGGGCTTCCAAATACAGCAGTTTATAAAACAGTCCTGGTGAGCTGTGAAGTGAAAGAGCAGGAGTCAGAGCTGCTCCCAGTTCACCTGCTTGTGCCAAAAAAACATAAAATACAAATTGCTTTCCCACCCCAGCCCTCAGTACAAAGCCAACTCCACACCAGGGCCACCGTCAGCGACAGGCCCAGTGGCGGTGGACAAGGAGAATACAAAAGGGAACGTCTTTAAAATCTCTTCAAAATCATTTTGTATACAGAAGTAAAAGCAACTCAGGCGATATGAATTCAAACCTCAGTGTAGAAATCTATCAAAGTCAGTACAGTGTCCAGGCACGCTGTCCCGGAGATGGAGGAAGTGGCTATAAAACATTATTGCTGGAGAGGCTTTTCTCAGTAGAACCAGAGCAGGTATAAAAGGGGAAGGCGGATAAAGGCAGGGGCAGTCGTCCAGGCCTAGGGCGCTGGAAGGGTAGGAGGAGCACAGAGAACCTTCCATGGCCCCTTAGGTTCTCTGCCTTTGGATGGATGGATCTATGCTGGCATTGTCTGGAGGGAGCCGGGTGTCCCCCAGTACTCACAGAACAAAGACAGTTAGGTCGGGGGAGAAATAAGGATAAAAAGAGACCCCAACAGACCCAGCCTGCCCTTCCCTGTCCCCCGCCCCTGGCTGCACTGCTGAAATATGAGGAAGAGATGGCTCCAGTGTGGGGTGCTGGCCAGGCCAGTTCATGGAACGTACGTGGGCTGGGGTGGGCCCCCAGCCTCCAGCTCTGGGGAGGATGGAGAGTGAGCAGCCTGGGGAGAGCTGCAGGAGGAAGGAGGGGGCCCAGAGGTTCCAGCAAGGGTGAAGACAAGCAGGGAGACCCCTCACGGCCCTCTGTCCATCCTGCACCAGCCATGGACAGGAGGGTTCCAGTTTCAGTCGGGTTTACCCCTTCACCCCAGGGCGAGGTCTCTGGGTCACAGTAGCAGTTGGGGATGCTGGCTGGGGAGGGGGGCAGAGACAGGGACAGGGCGCCTAGCAGAAGAGCTTGAGGAAGCAGTTCTGACAGTAAGGCTTGTCGTTCTGCTCCTTAAAGGTGCCCTTGTTGAGCTGCTTGAGGCAGAAGGCACAGACGAAGTGCTCGGGGTGGAACTTCTTGGCCATGGCGGTGATGCAGCGCCCGGTGATGGGCTTCTGACAGCCAGAGCACAGCGAGCCACGCCGCTCGTGATAGTGTACCTCACAGTAGGGCTGCCCGTCGTGCTCGAAGAAGCTGCCGTTGACGAATGGCGTGAAGCATTCCTGCCAGGCGGAGAGAGGGGCTTAGAGACGGGCATGTCAGCACACCCCTGGTGCATCCTACTTGCTAGAAATTTCATACGTGCCATGCTGTCCTAAAATAACACTGATTTTTATTTTTTATTTTATTTACTTATTTATTTTTTGAGACTGAGTCTTGCTCTGTCACCTAGGCTGGAGTGCAATGGCACAATCTTGGCTCACTGCAACCCCAGCCTCCTGGGTTCAAGCAATTCTTCTGCCTCGGCCTCCTGGGTAGCTGGGATTACAGGCACATGCCACCACACCTGGATAATTTTTTTTTTTCTTTAGTAGAGACAGAATTTCTCCACATTGGCCAGGCCAGTCTTGAACTTCCAGCTGACCTCAGGTGATCTGCCCATCTCAGCCTCCCAGAGTGCTGGGACTACAGGCGTGAGCCACCACGCCTGGCCTATTTTTACTATATTAAAAAAATTTTTTTATAGAGATGAGAGTCTCACTATATTGCGCATGCTGGTCAAACTTGGCCTCCAGCAATCCTCCCAACTTGGCCTCCCACAGTGCTGGGATTATTTAATTCTCCCAACAGGGAGGCAACTGAGGTGCAGCGATGATGTGACTGGCCCAGGGTTATGCAGTACTGAGTTCACAGCCTGGATCTTACATAGGTCTGACTGCTGGGTGCTTAGCCAGGTGGCTGTAACACTGCTCCCAGAAACACAGGTGCTGACACTGGTCTGTGGTCAAACTCTGCATCCCAGATTCTCATTGGAGAGTCACGTGCACATGTACGTAGAAAAGGCTCTGGGAGGGGCCGGGCGTGGTGGCTCACACCTGTAATCCCAGCACTTTGGGAGGCCGAGGCAGGCGGGTCACCTGTGGTCAGGAGTTTGAGCCAGCCTGGCCAACATGGTGAAACCCCATTTCTACTAAAAATACAAAAAATTAGCCAGGCATGGTGGTGGGTGCCTGTAATCCCAGCTACTTGGGAGGCTGAGGCGGGAGAATCACTGGAACCCAGGAGGTGGAGGTGGCAGTGAGCCGAGATCGCACCACTGCGCTCCAGCCTGGGCAACAGAGTGAGACCTCATCTCAAAAACAAAAAAGGAAAGAAAAGGCTCTGAGAAGTCTTGCAGGGAACACTGTTCCCCAACTCATTTGGTCAGAGAGCCCTTTTGAATCCCTAATAACCTCTGCGGGGCCCCAGAATGCAGTGGTTTTGGAAACCACCGCCCACTTCTGTCGAGTCTGCTAAATACTTGCATTATCTCATTCAATTCTCACACACTCTCCTCCCGAATAGGAATGGCCAGGGCCTCTGCACAGGGCTGGAGGGGGACATGTCTACCTTGCTCCTGGTTTGTCCCAGCCTCAGTACAAGTCCTGGCCCAGGACCTACTGGACCCCCTGCCAGCTCCCCCTATTAATAACCCCAAATGAGGCCTCGGAGTTGGATCCAGAGAGCACAATGCAGAAGACCCCTCTCTCCCCACTCCCTGCTCCCAGTCCCCTCCAGATGCGGTCAGGGGCTCCTTACCCGGCACACGAAGCACTCGGGATGCCACAGTGTGTTGAGGGCCGAGATGTAGTTCTCCAGGATGGCCCGGGCACAGCCGCCACACTTGGGCGCAAACATGTCGAAGTAGTCCTTGCGGCAGTAGGCCTTGCCGTCCTTCTCGTGGAATCCTGGGGAGCGGGGGTTTTGGAGGCACAGTTCTTTCAGGGTTCCAGAAGTAGAGCCACCCTGACTCCAGCCTCAGCAGCGTCTCCCACCCCCGCCTCCCCAGCCCTCCTAAGAGAAGGCGAGTCAGCCTGTCGGCCCAGCCCATACCTTCAGGACCAAAGAAGGCTCCACACTGGGCACAGAAGAAGTGTTCAGGGTGCCACGTCCGGTCAAGGGCTGTCACCACTTTCTGTGAAAACAAAGTGTGGATCAAGGCTGAGCTCCACCGCACTGGACAGATCTCACGACTGAGACTCCCAGCAAGACCATCCTCCACCCACAACTCATAGCCACACAGAGCAAAACACTCCCAAGATCAGGGTCTCTGCTAATTGTGCTACGAATGCCTCTAAGAAGGCAGAGTTGCTGAGGATGGGACATGCCGGATCCACACCCTCTCCTTTAATCCTCACCCCAAGTAGAGGTCACAGGTTCTATTGTGATTCCCTTTTTTTTCTTTTTCTTTTTTTTTTTTTTTTTTGAGACGGAGTTTCGCTCTTGTTACCCAGGCTGGAGTGCAATGGCGCGATCTCGGCTCACTGCAACCTCTGCCTCCCGGGTTCAGGCAATTCTCCTGCCTCAGCCTCCATAGTAGCTGGGATTACAGGCACGCACCACCATGCCCAGCTAATGTTTTGTATTTTTAGTAGAGACGGGGTTTCACCATGTTGACCAGGATGGCCTCGATCTCTTGACCTCGTGATCCACCCGCCTCGGCCTCCCAAAGTGCTGGGATTACAGGCTTGAGCCACCGCGCCTGGCCTCTTTTTTTTTTTTTTTGAGACAGAGTCTCACTCTACTACCCAGGCTGGAGTGCAGTCGCGTGATCTTGGCTCACTGCAACCTCCGCCTCCCGGGTTCAAGAGATTCTCCTGCCTCAGCCTCCTGAGTAGCTGGGGTTATAAGCATGCGCCACCACTTTTTTTTTTTTTTGAGACGGAGTTTTGCTCTTGTTGCCCAGGCTGGAATGCAATGGCGTGATCTCGGCTCACCACAATCTCTACCTCCCAGGTTCAAGCAATTCTCCTGCCTCAGCCTCCCGAGTAGCTGGGATTATAGGCATGCGCCACCACACTCAGCTAATTTTGTATTTTTGTAGAGACAGGGTTTCTCCATGTTGGTCAGGCTGGTCTCAAACACCCAACCTCAGGTGATCTGCCTGCCTAGGCCTCTCAAAGTGCTGGGATTACAGGCGTGAGCCATCACACCCGGCCTATGACTCTCATTTTGTAAGTGAAGAAACATAGTCTGAGAGAGGCCAGGCATTTCCTAAGTTCACAGAGCAGGAGTGGGAGACAGCCGGCATCCAACTCCATATATCTGCTCAGGCTCCTGAGTGCCGGGGGTCTCCACAGAAGGGAATTGAGATGGGAGGTGAAGGGAGGTGGGGCTGCTGGACACGCATTGGGACAGGCTATGGTTCAGATGTGGGTTTGAATCCGGCCACACTGTTCCCTGGCCCTGTGAGCCTCAGGCATGTGACCTCTCTGAGGCTCCGACGGTGCCCCCTGCACCGTCAGAGGGCCACGGTGAAGATGGAATGAGCCGAGTAGGCGTGGTGCCCGGGTAGGAACTCACATCCAGGATGGGCCCGTTGCAGTAGTAGCAGCGCGGGGAGAAGAGGTTGTGGTAGTCCTTCTCACAGTAGGGCTGTCCGTCCCGCTCGAAGAAGTTCCGGGATCCAATCTCCTCCTGGCAGTGGGTGCAGACGAAGTGCTCAGGGTGCCACGTTTTCCCCATGGCGGTCACAACCTGAGGAGGAAGATGAAATGCGTGCAGGGCCGAGGCCAGGCCCGGAGCATCCCCACCCCTGCAGAGGGGCCCACTGGCCACCTCGCTCCCTCTCCCTCTCATCACCTGCCCAGCGATGGGCTTCTTGCAGGCCCCGCAGACTCCTTTGGCGACTGTGGCAACCCCCAGCTTGTTCAGGTCGGACTGCAGGCTCCCCAGCATGCTGTCTAGCTGGCTCCCGGGCTTCGGGGCCCCCCCCGGAGGTGAGCTGCTCCCTGTCTTCCCCTGGGTCATGAACTGTAGAGACAGGGAGGGGGCTGGTCAGGACCCCTGAGGCTCAGGGTACAGTGTCTGGCAGCACAGGGATGGGGAGACTTTTCTTCCTCCTGGACAGCTGAGCTGATGGAGACAAGAAGTACAACCTCCTCCAGGGGCCAGGAGCCCTAAAGTGGGTGTGACGTCAGCAGGACTCCCAGTGGTCGGAGGAGCCCACCGGGGGTCAGAAAGGCTCAGGGCACCCAGCAAGCACGGCCAAGCCCAGGGAGAGCACGACGCGCAGGACACCCAGCCCAGCCTTGGCACTGACCCCTCCCTCGTCCTGCCCTCCAGGGCTGCTCCGCCCGCTGTCCCGAGGCCAGCCGGCTGCCCAGCACAGCTCCCCATCCGCTCTTTGCTCCAGGCCCTGGATCTTAGATAGGGGAAGAGATGAGGATAAGAAATCTTTTTTAAAAAATTAAAGAAGAAAGAATAAGAGACCTTGCCACTGGACTAAAAGGGAATCTAGTATGAGATCTGAGGGTTTCTCCCCCACCAGCAGGACAAAAACTGGGGAAAAAAATTTGGAGAAAAAGAGCCCTGAGAGAGAGACCCGGGAGAGACGAAGGACAAGGAGGGGAGGGGAGCTGACCAGAGGCAGAGGACATGGCAAGGGCAGGTGGCCGGGCTCAGAGCGAAGAGGCCTCAGCAGGCACTGGGCCTGGGGGCCAAAAGGGGAGGAGACAGGTTTCTAGTCTCCCTTCTGGAGTGGCTTCCTTGATTGGAGCCCAGGGCAGTCCCGAGGACCACTCGAGGAAGGGACAGATGGGAGGGACCCACAGAATGGCGAGAGGGCAGTAGACCTCCCGAGGTGGGGAGACCAGGGTCGAGGTTTAAGGCAGGAGCTTATGGATAGAGGGAAGGAGGGTATCTGAGTGTGTATGTGTGTGCGCATGTGTGTGTGCACATGTGTGTGTGCAGAGTGGGGACGGCTCAGGCACTAGGACAGGGAGCAGAAAGGGAGGGGCCCCTTTAAGGCCTGCCTGCATTGCGGGGAAGAGCGGGTCCTCGTCGGTCTGGCAGCCCACGGACCTCATGGTATGGGGTACAGGAGTGGGAAGGGTGGGGCCCTGCACCCCCTCATCATGGGGCTCTTCCCCTGCACTCCGAACCCCAGAAGAATCACAGGTGCAAGCTGAGGGTCCCAGGGAGGAGGGGGCAGGCAGGCTGGACAGGGGAGAAGAGCTGCTGGCCTCGGCGTCTGTGTGATGCTGGAGCAAAGGGACAGAAGGAGAAGCCAGGACAGAGATGGTTCTTCTCAGGGGAATGGGAGAGCCAGGAGGGAAGATAACCTGGGGAGAAGAAAGGAGGGAGAGCAATGAGGAGGAAATCATCCGCTCAGCCCGTGGGGGTGGGGTGACCTCCCCAGGCTCCCCCTGGGCCTTCCCACTCTGCACCAAGAGTGGGGCCAGTCTTCCAAGTTCACAGAAGCAAGAAACCCCCACCCTCCCCTCTGGCCAGCACTGGGGACAGGGAAGAACCTGGACCCAGGGTGCCTGGCCCTGGCCCAGCCCCAGCCCTGGGCATCTCCACGCCACCTTCTCTACAAGCTGCCCCCCAGCCCGCTTCCCACGAGGCTGCACAGTGATGACGACGCCTTCGGTCAGCCAGTCCTCGGCAGAGGGCCCCGCTGCCTCCACCGGCTCCTCTGCCTCAGGCTGGATGCCCAGCCGCCCCTGCAGCTCCGCGATGAGCCGTTCCTGGGATGGGGTCCTGCTCAGAGTGGCAGGGTCCAGCCGGCGGCGAGGGGAGGGCTCCCGGGACATGGGGTGTGCGTGGCCCGTCTCCCGGCTCCTCCTGATCACAGATCGGATCTGGGGGAGGGGAGGGGAGGCTGTCACCGTCCCACTCTGGGCTTGCACAATGCCACTCAGGCCACACTCAGATGCCTCAGGGGAGGGAGCACAGAAGAAAACCACCAAAGAGCCAAGCGGAGGTGGGGTGGAGGCACGAGGAGGGAGCAGATGGGACTGGCTCCAGGACACAGGCTTCCAGCGGGACCTCTGACCCAGCATTCGCCTCCAAGTTGGCCACTGACTTTGGGCAAGATACTTAACTGCCATGGGCCTCAGCTTGCCCATCCTTAAAATGGAACTACAGGATTTTCTTGGTTTACTTCACAGGGTTTGTGCAATAATTATTCCAGAGGACGTAAATGGATGCCCCTGACAGGGCATATGGCTTTTTCTTTCTTGTTTTCTTGTGATTATAACAGAAAAACAGTCTTTCCTTCCAGAAACTTTTTAACTGGTTTTTTTCTCTTGTTTATATTATTATGCTAATATTATACTTATGCTATCATACTTGTTGGTAGCATTTTAGGGATTTTTGGTTTTTTCGTTTTGTTTTCCAAAGTGGCATAAATCTTAGGGTATTTGGGTTTTTTGTTTGTTTGTTTGTTTGTTTTAAGACAGTGTCTTGTTCTGCTGGTCAGGCTGAGTGCAGTGGTGTGATCATGACTCACTGCAGCCTTGAACTCCTGGGCTCAAGTGATCCTCCCACTTTAGCCTCCCCAGCAGCTGGACTATAGGCTTGTCCCACCATGTCCAGCTACTTTTTAATTTTTTGTAGAGACGGGGTCTCGCTGTGTTGCCTAGGCTGGTCTCAAACTCCTGGGCTCAAGGGATCCTCCTGCCTCAGCCTCCCAAACTCCTGAGATTACAGGCAGAAGCCACTGTGCCAGGGTGAGGCATAAAGGTTTTATTTTTCTGTCCCAAAAAAAAAAAGAAGAAAATAAAACTTTTATGCTTACATAAAAAGAAAATAAAACCTTACAAAAAAAGAAAATAAAACCTTTATGCTCATAGTGGCTTACCTCACTGCCGCCAGGCTGGAGTGCAGTGGCAGGATCTCCCTGCAACCTCCACTTCCTGGGTACCAGTGATTCTCCTGCCTCAGCTTCCTGAGTGGCTGGGACTACAGGCACCTGCTGCCACACCCGGCTAATTTTTGTATTTTTAGTAGAGATGAGGTTTCACCATGTTGGCCAGGACGGTCTCAATCTCTTGACCTTGTGATCCACCCTTGGTCTCCCAAAGTACTAGGATTACAGGCACAAGCCACCGCACCCAGCCAGGGGCATAAAGTTTTAATTAAGCAAAAAGCAAATAATAAAAGGCTGGGAGCAGCAGCTCATGCCTGTAATCCCAGCACTTTGGGAGGCTGAGGTGGGCAGATCACCTGAGGTCAGGAGTTCGAGACCAGCCTGATCTGCACAGTGAAACCCTGTCTTTAAAAAAAAAAAGCAAATAATAAAAGTACTGTCAGCTATGGCCTATTGAGGGACCACATGTTGTGTTCTAAATACTTTCCAGGAACTCTCTCATTTAGATCTCTGGACAGCCCTAATGGAAATGGCCTATTATTCTCTCCATTTCACAGATGAGAAAACTGAGGCTCAGGGAAGGGTTGCCCAAGGTCACAGAGGTAGCAGGTGTTAGAGGTGTGGTTTGTATCTAGGTCTACCTGGTTCCAAAGTCCATGCTTCTAAACCATTTCAGATGAGGCCAGCTTGTCTGAAAGGAAAAAGCCTTAACATAGCAAGAGGCGGGTTGATGCTATGAGAAATGCCGGGTCCACAGAGGCCACTGCCAAGTAGCTGATTGTCAGGTCAGGCCACGGCGTCAGCATTTTCTGCCCAAGCAGAGCAGACACGCGCAGAGTGGGAGGCTGCATGCAGTTATCGAGGAGCGGCCACACTCAGACCCGCCAAGGGCCATGCCCAGCAGCCATGCTAGCTGGCGCCTGCCTGGCCAGAGGTGGAAATCCTCTCTGTGGCGCTGGGTGTGCCTGTGGCCATGGCACACAGAAGCTCTGGCTGTTCCTTCCCGGCCTGGGTGGCAGCTTCAGTGGCACCCTCTGGGCTCCTTTGGGTCTCAGGTCCCTGGGTGGGCCTGGCCACGCTTCCCTTCTCGGGCATCTTTCCACCTAGCTGCTCCCTGGTAACTGGGGCAGGACAGCTGCTTCGCAGCCTCTCTGACTCTGGCCTTGGCCCCTCCTGCTGTAGGCCGTGTTCCTCTGTAAGAGTCCAGGTCTCTGGGAAGATGGCCTGCCAGTCCACTGCCACAACAGCTGGCTCTGCTACTTCTTGGAAGCTTCGAGCAGCTCCACATGGGGGGATTCTCTCAGGCTTGAATACCTCCGAAGCCCTTGGCTCCTCCCATGTGGCAGTCACGGCCTCCTCTGAGCATGGAGGGCTAGCTGGTGGCCTCTGGGGCTCCCCAGGCTCCTGGGCACCTGTGCTCCCAGGAAGGGGTACAGTGTGGCAGCGAGGAGCCCCAGAGAGCTCACTTGTGAGATTAGGCAGGTGCCTCCAATCTCGGCCCTGGCTCTTTGTGCCTACTGGCCCCAGAGAACCCTCCACAGAGGGAGACCTTGAGTTGAGGGTGTCAGGCTTCACCCCAAGACCAGCCAAATCAAGCCAGCTGGGGGCCACAGGAGGTAGAAGGCCTCGTCCACTCTGCTCAGTACAAGGGGACTCCGGAGTGTGGCCCTGGCCTCGAGGGGAGGGTTTAGTGGTGGGTGGCAGGAATACAGATGGCATGGGAGGAGGAGGAGAAGGAGAAGATGGAAGGGAGCCGTGTGAGGACGGAGCAGAGCTGGGCAGCAGCCCCGGGGTGCTGAGAGCCACTGTGGAGGAGCTGGTCTGAAGGAGGAAAAGAGAAAGGCAGAGGGGAAAGAGAGAGAGATGGGGAGGGTGAGGAAGGCTGCGCCCTGCAGGCAGTGTGTTCGGCCTTAGGGCTCTGAGGGCCACCTTCCATATCGACCAAGGTGGCTGCAAAGCTGATGCACAGGACTGGCCCTTGAAGGAGACCCAGATCCCAAAAAGACTTCCCTGGGCTTTACGCATTTAGCCTTCATCAAACCTAAGCACGAGAAAGCAGCCATTGAGCCAGGTCTGTGGGGCCACCCAGGCAGGACACAAGGAAGAAAAGACCAAGGTGTGGCAGACAAATGGGGAGCCAGGTGACTAGGGAAGACAGTCAGGCACAGATGGAGAGAGAACCAGCCCCAGTGGGCTGCTGAGCCCTCCTCGGACGCCGGCCCAACTCAGCCACGTCCTCCTAGACAATCCCAGCTTTCCTATACCCCAAGTCCTAGCTTCAGGGATCTGACTAAAACCAGTGCTGCCTCTTCTGGTATCAGGGCACAGGCTGTCTGAGAAAGCAACAGCCTTACAAGCACCAGGGCACAGCTCCCTTAGGCCAGGCCCTGAATCCAACTTACTGGCTTCTGACCATGGCTGCTTGGAACCACTGGCCTGGAGCTGGAGCTACAGCACGCAAGGGTCACAGGCCCAGGCTCATCCCTCCACCCCAGCCACACTCTCATCTCCCACCATGAAACCCCAGCTGGAGGGAGTCAAGGAGGCACCATCGGGCCCAAGGGTGCAGGGACCCTTCACTCCCCATCTCATATTCCCTAGGTCATGCCCCAAAGGTCTCCAGCTGACCCACGTGGAAGTGTGAAGTCAGCAACTGCTGGTGAGTTCTGTCAGTATCAATCCCCATGGAAACACTGTATCCTGTAAATTAAACATCTCAGGCCTGGCAGGACTGGGGAGGCCCGGCAGGGGAGGGAATGGGAAGGGCAACTCGTGGAAGACTGGCCCCATGGTTTCCCACAGACAGAGCTTGTGGGAACTCAGAGGCCCTGGAGGGCAAGGGAGAAGGATGGGAGAAGGGTATTGAGGGAGGCGTGTGGATTCAGGAGCAGAGGCAGAAAGAAAGAGGATGTTTTGAGGAGGGACATAGCGTGGGAGATGGGGCTCCAGGGCAAATGACCTCTCAGGCACGGGCTCCCAAGTCCCACATGGCCCAGCAGAGAACGCCCTCCCCCACCAAGAGCAGCCATCAACACAAGGTTCTTTGTCCCAGTGTCTCAGCCTCCTGATCCTCTCGACCTGAGTGGCTGGGAACACCCGGGGAGGAAGGAATGTCCCAGCTGAGCACTTCTCTGCCTTCACAGGCTACTGCAATCCTCTGGCAGGCTGTCCCGGCCCTCCCTGGCCCTCCCTGCCTCTTGGCATCACGGCAAGGCCAGGACATGACAGGGTCCCTGGCTCAGAGGCAAGGCACCCAAACACTGAGGGGCCAAGGTCCAGCCACTCACACTGAGGTAAGGGAGGAGAAGGCTGAGGGAGGGGTGGCAGGGCAGGGATGATGGAGGGTTTGCAGGGCACCTTGAAATCCGACAGTGAAGCCATCAGCTCGTCCAGCTCCCTGGTGGCCGAGGAGGCCGAGATTCGTGTCTGCTGCTGGCTGGAGGTGACGCGCTGCGGGCTGCTCATCTCGCCCTGGTTCACAGTGATGGCAGGGCTGCAGGGTGGCACAGCATGGGTGGGGAGCCCACAGTCAGCCCCACAATTCCCAGGGATCAAATTGACATCTCAGCTTGGACACTGGGGTCCCACCATCCCCAACCCCAGGGAGGCCCACTGACTCCCTAGGGACCCTTCACTGAGTGAGAAGAAAGGGCAGTTCAATGGCACCAGGAAGTGCCAGCAAGACGCCTCTGGCCCCCAGTCCAACTGAAAGCTGGCCTGTGAAACAAGCTCAGGCGCTCTGTGTGTTTCCTCCACAACCCTGGACGTGGAGGCGAGGCTCCTGCAGGAACACAGCAGCACTGATATGAGCTCGCATGCATACCACTCACCAAGTGTGTCATGCACCGCGAGCCAAAAACCATTCCAAGCACTTTAGGTGGATGATTGGTTCTTACCCTTATTCAGGTAGGTAGTCTTATTGCAGCGATCCCATGAGCCCTTGTCCCATTTTACAGATGGGAAAACTGAGGCTTGAGAGCTGACAGGAACTGTCAGAGCCAAGATGCAAGCCCTATTGTGTGGCCCCAAAGCCTGTGCTAAGAGCTGCTAAACTCCAGGTGCTCTTGGCATGTATAGCGTCTGTCCTTTCTGACTGGTAGTGACTGGCTGAAGGCAGGGATGGTATCCACAAGTGCCTGGCAGACGGCAGACACTGGAGGGAATGGGTGATGCCAGGGCCAAGAGGGCAGACATTGGACTCGGGGCGGGCTGGGCCAGCCCTTCCCTGCCCAGGGAGAGCCTAGTGGGTACTCACACAGGGCTGGGCACGGAGCTCTCCAGTTCATCCAAGAGACTCTCCACACTGGGCCGCACGTCCTCCAGGCCCCGGCCCCCATTCCGCTTAGGCTTCTCTTTCGTCAGGGGCCCAGCTTTGCCCCCCAGGGGGCTGTTATTCTCTGGGACACCATAGTGGGGGCTCAGGGCCCCAGGAAGTGGGGGGTTTGAGTTGGCCTCATCTTGCAGAGAGGAAAGAAAAAGACTGCTCAGCTCTTGAGCCCTCCTGGGATCCAGAGGTCAGCAGGTGGGCCGTGGGGCCCGGCAGACCCTGGCCCAGGGAGCTGGTCCTACCTGCTGGGAATCCTGGCGAGTTATGCTGCACGGCATTCAGTTCCAGCAGCAGGCGGTCGAGCTCTGAAAGGTTGCTGCCTAGGGAGGTGCTCATTATGGTTGGTGAAGGCTCGGCTGATTTCTGCTTGTTGGGGAAGCTTTGAGAGGCAAAGGAAAGAAGACAGTGAGAGATGCTCTCTGGCCTTGCACTGGCTTGGCAGTTCCCAAATTCCCAAGGAGAGCAAGGCAGAGGAGATGCGAAGTCTTCTCCAGCAAGAGGACAGAGGGTGGGGAAGGGACGTGGTAGGAAGAGGAGAGGAAGGAAGCCTTGCTTTAGCTCCCCAGCTACACGGAGATGCTATGACAGCCCAGAATGTCCACTGGAGATGGCACTGATTAGGTAGGAAGCCCATCGACAGGCCTTCTGCAGCTTAAACCAGAAGAACCCCGCAAGGGCCAGTCGCCCCGCTGCCTCCCATCCTGGCCAGGTCCCTGAGATTTCTGAGCAGGAGGGAAGTTGCCCGGAGCAGGCTGGGGCAGTACCTGTAGACGTGCTCCTCCTCACCCACTCGGGAGCACGGAGAGCCAACACCGTCCTGAGGGTTAGAGGCACTGGAAGTTTTGGCACTGGAGCCGTACACAGGTGACGGGGACTGAGGCTGCAAGACGGAGAATGTTCAGAGGCTACCCCGAGGGGAGAAAAAAGAACGGGGCCAGGAGCAGCCCAAGTCACCCCCAGGAGGCTCCTGCCCAGAGCTAGTCTCACCAGGGAATTTCCAGTCGGGCCAGGAGACCTGTGATTAACCACTTGGTCACTGCCCCACTCACATGGTGGGTGGGAAGAGCAGTATCTGGTCGGGGCGGGCCGACTTCCCCAATTCCATTCCATCCACTGGCTCCCCAGGCCCCTGCCAGGTAAGCTCCCTCTGCCCCACAGCCTCTTCAGCTTTCCTTGCCCCTGTCCCCACCTCACCTGCTGGTGGATGAATCGAGAGCCGCTGGGCTGCCACTGGTCTAAGGGGTCAAGGATCGTGCCATTGAGGGCCTCGCTGGATGGGGGTGGGGGCACGGGGGGTGGCACGGCAATCTCCTGGTATGTGTGGTTTCCAGTTGGGTATGAGTAGGGGGTCTCCTCTGACAAGAACACGGGTCGTTTGGAGATGTGGGAGGTGGTGGACTCCAGGTCCGCCAGCAGGGCGTCTGCAAAGAGAAGGTGCGGGGAGCAGGTGAGAACTGGGATCCTGGGGACTCTCCGGTGGCAGGGCCCTCCCTGCCTGCACCTCAAGAGTTAATGCCTTCCAGCACCTGCCCCACCCATGGGAGAAATGACCAGCCTCGGGACAGGAAGCCACCAGCCCTGACCAGCCTAACCAAGAACTGGCTCCCAAAGCTGACTTCTTCTGCCTGCCTGGGACTGAAGGTGCTCTAGAGGCGGGCTCTGGGGCTGCCCGTGGGATCTCCTACCTCCGGGAGTCAGGCACCTGGCGCTGCGTTCCCTCCTGACAGGGCCGCGCAGCTGCGAGTGAGAAGTGCCTGCCTGGAACTCTGAATCTGCAGGGCAACACGCAGAGAATGGGTGGGAGGGGCCCCACGTCACAGGGAGGGGCCCTGGCAGTGCCAGGCCCTCACTTGATTTCCAAGAGCTTAGGCTTTCTTAGCCCCAGACTAGAAGGGCACTCAGGATGCCCCCTGCCCTCCTGACCAGGTGGAAGCAGAAGCCCAGGCGCCAGGCTCCTCCTGAGGCTCCAGGCTTACGGAGTAAGGTGTGCAGGGAGGTGGGGGCTGGAGTGAGGCTGGTGCAGCGGTCCCCACCCACTCAGTGAGCAGGGGGCAAGATTGCTCGGTTGGCTGTTTCTGCGGAAGTCTGGCAAACAGCCCGGCCCCAGAGGCTCCAGGGCCCCACTGTTCTGCTTTTAACAGCAGCAAGGGAGCCAAATCAGCCCTCCAGTGCAAGCTTCCATTACCCTGGTACCTGGCAGCCAACAGGGGGGCACTAGGTCTCCCCAGTCCCCAGAAAAGAAGGGTATAGAGGGGCAGGGGTAGGACCTGCTGACTCCCCACCTCCTCCATCCCCTCCTGGGACCCTCAACAGCCCCACGGCCCAGACAGCCTAGGCAGACGGTCCTGTCGCCCTGGGTGCCACACCCTCATTCCTGCCCGATTCACAACTTGCTCGCTGTCAGCTCCCTGGTAACCTGCTGGGTCCACAGAGCTGAGAGCTCCATTCCTAGTCCTTGGGATAATAAACATCTAAAAAGCAATGGCTGTGTTTATTGCCACTTATTAGTACCAGGCACACTGCTAGGCATTCTAGCAGTGTGTACACAGTCTCCATTAATCCCCCTAATACCCCGTGAAGCTGGAATGCTGATTCTCCCTGCATGGATGAGGAAAGTGGGCTTGGAGAGGCAGAGGTGTTCGCGCTGAATAACAAAGGTAGTGAGTGGTACGATTGTCTGACTCCTCGGAAGCCCCAAACCCCAAAAACCCTGGCCTGTAAGAAGCCACTATGACTACTAGATGACACCGTATTTAAAGTGTTCAACTTCCTGAATGTTGGAGGCCCAAGCTGTGAGGCTTGCCAGTCTGATCCTTCCTTCTGGCCTTGCTCCCAGTCCCCCAACCTGTATTCAGTGGAGGGAAAAGAGAAGCAAGGCCCTCACCCAGGGCCTCTGTCGATGGGGCCACACCTTCTCCCAGCTGCCTGTCCTGATCTACCCTCAAGGCTGGCCACACCTACCCCAGGCTCCTGGCTCCTGCCCAGACAGACAGAAAGTCTGTTCCAAGGCCCAGGACCCCGGGTCTGGTCTCCTGACCTCCGAAGAAGGTTAAGTCCTACAGCAGCCGCTGCTTCCCACTCCAGGTCCCATGGAGGAGGTCTGGCTTCCTGTCTTTAGCAAACCGGAACTAGAGTTGGTAGGTATCTAGATAACAGCAGAAAAGGAACCAATGTCCAGGCCGATCCCCACGGCCTCTCCAGGGCCACACCTGCTGTCTTGGCTTCTCACAGTGTCCTCATTTCCTCTGGGCCCAATCAGCGATGGGTGGGTCCCTCTTTCTCCACCACAGGCAGGGCCAGCTATAAAACCCCACAGGCCTCCCCAGAATAGGCAGTGACTGCAGCCCCGGTAGGGGGCAGGAGTGGCTGCCATCCTTGAAGGCCCACTGGGGCCGGGAGCTTCACCTGTGTTACCTGCCATCCTCTTCACAATGCCACTAGCATAGATGGCAAAACTGCGGTTCAGAGGCACAGTCACATCCCCACACTGCCAACGCTGACTGAAGTGACAATGCTGGACTCTGAACTCAGGTGTCTTGGGCTCCAAACACCCAGCAGAAGACAAACAGGCTTCCTCGTCAAACATTTTGAATCAGGGACTCCACCAAACGCTCGCTCCACACAATGTGATTCTGAGCCTGGGCTTTTGGTTTATGGATTGGATTCTGGTTTATGATGTGAACAGGCTCTTTTGAGCACAGATCCATAGGTTGGTGGAGTGTTGGTGACAGGATGCAATCCTGGGGCACAGAGACAAAAGATCACTCATTCTGAGGTCAAGCCAGACCTGAGTTCAAACGCCAGCTCTCCTCTTTACTATCCATGCCACACGGCAAATCACTTAGCTTTTCAGGGACTGTTTTCTCAGTAAGCTCTTGAATAATTCTGACCTCAAAGAACTGGTATGAGGTTTATAAGGGCTAACAGAGGGGTTGGGCATGGTGGCTCAGGCCTGTAATCCCAGCACTTTGGGAGGCTGAGGCAGGTGGACACGAGGTCATGAGTTCGAGATCAGCCTGGCTAATATGGTGAAACCCCATCTCTACTAAAAATACAAAAATTAGCCAGGCGTGGTGGCACGTGCCTGTAGTCCCAGCTACTCCAGAGTCCGAGGCAGAAAAATTGCTTGAACCCGGGAGGTGGAGGTTGCAGTGAGCCAAGACTGTGTCACTGCACTCCAGCCTGGGCAACAGAGCAAGACTCCATCTCAACAAAACAAAACTGTTACAAGTACATTGAAAGCTGTAAACATCAGGTCCTCCAGACCCACGTGACCCTGAAGGAGGAAGCTCTGTAGCCCATTGGAAGCTACAAACAGCAGATTTTATTTGCTTTGTAAAATCCAGAAAACGTCTTCCTCCAGGTAGAGCAGTGTAGGTAGGATGCAAAGTACTGATATCTCCTAAGTCTTCTATGTCTTTTCTGGGTAGAATCTGGTCAAAATATGAAAAGAACAACCTTGAGAAAAGTAATAAAATAACATTCAAAGTGTAGCTGGCCGGGCGTAGTGGCTCACATCAGCAATCCCAGCACTTTGGGAGACTGGGGCGGGCAGATCACCTGAGGTCAGGAGTTAAAGACCAGCCTGACCAACATGAAGAAACCCTGTCTTTACTAAAAATACAAAAATTAGGGCCAGGCGCGGTGGCTCATGCCTATAATCCCAGCACTATGAGAGGCCAAGGTGGGTGGATCACAAGGTCAAGAGTTGGAGACCAGCCTGACCAACATAGTGAAACCCTATCTCTACTAAAAATACAAAAATCAGCCAGGTGTGGTGGCGCACACCTGTAATCCCAGTTACTCAGGAGGCTGAGGCAGGAGGATTGCTTGAAACCCGGGAGGCGGAGGTTGCATTGAGCCGAGATTACGCCACTGCATTCCAGCCTGGGTGACAGAGCAAGACTCTGCTTCAAAACAAAAACACAAAATTAGTCAGGCATGGTGGTGGGTGTCTGTAATCCCAGCTACTTGGGAGGCTGAGGCAGGAGGATTGCTTGAACCCAAGAGGCAGAGGTTGTAGTGAGCCAAGATTGTGCCATTGCACTCCAGCCTGGGTGACAGAATGAGACTCTGTCTTTAAAAAAAAAAAAAAAAAAAATTAAAAATTAGCTGGGTGTGGTGGCACATGTCTATAGTCCCAGCTACTC